GATCGCTACACAGGTGCTCCCCTGGCCGTTCCCCCCAGGAGCTCTGACCAGCCGGTCTTTTATCTCGCTGACGAGGGCGCTCGGCCTTTTCAAGATCGGCCTCCTGCCCCTCGCAGGTATGTGGATCTCACCGCTGAGGTGCGTGCAAATATATATATATATATTATATTATATATTATATTATATATTATCTTATATATATGTGTGTGTGTGTGTTGATGTTTATATTGTTTTGTGGGCGGGTTGTTCTCCTGCTCGGCTGCCGACGGCTCTAAGGATAGCTAAACTGTTGCCATAGCACGATCGATCGCGTGGAAACAGTTCTGGAATTGACTTTTCGGCTGTCGGAATTGGATAATTGTTAGAACTTGTTGTCGCGCTCTCCTGGAAAAGGATGTTTGATGTTATGGCGAAATGATGACATCAGCGCAGTGCAGGACTGCGTAAGTTTATTGAAGATATTGGACTGCAGCTCCACGTCATAGTCTCTTGTCGTTGATGGGACATAGATCACGGCCTTCAGTTCAAGATTTAGGTTTACCTTTTTGTGAGATGCTCGATGCAATGAGGTCATGATAGCCACTGACGTGGCTTCACGCGGCCTTGACATCAAGGGCATGGGCCTTGGTTTTGCCGTGCAGATGCACAGACAGAGGAGCGCATGAGGAGCGCTCGGGTTGTCTTTCTTATTCTTGGTGCGGCAGCAAGTTGCGAAATCCTGCACGATAGGGGATCTCGATGCATCCTTACCGAAGATGCAGCCCTAGGCGTGAAGCTAGTCATCAATTACGATGCGGCGAACACGCCCGAGGACTGCTTCGCTGGCCTGGGACTTCAGGTGTAGGCAGGCACAAGGCAAGGTTCTACCGCACCTCGAAGACGGCACCTAAGACAGCAAGCATGGTTCGGAAAGTTTGGGCCGAGTCCAAACATGTGGTCAGCTAGATATGTGGCTTATAAGTGCTACCAACCTTAAGCCCTTCACCTTCAATCGTTGAAGCCGGCTAAGATGGACCAAGCGCTGAGTAATGCAGGTGCGATGGATCGACGAGCAAGACAACAAACACCCGGCCTTTGCAGGATTACGTGCACCGAATAGGTCGCACGGGCCGCGCCGGGGAGAAGGGCATCTCGTGCTCCGCAGACTAATTTTGTGGCAGTCATAGATCCTGTCGATGTTGCTGGCTAGCTGTCCAGCCCTGCACCTGCCTCAGAAGCAGATCTTCGCAGTGATTGAGGTCTGGAAGCTTTCCAGCGAAGCTGAGTTCAGGTACACATTCCTAGTGCGAGATGACCCAACTGACGTCAAGAAAGCAAAAGCCATCTTAGATGTGTGGCACTCAGCATGCTCAGGTGTCTTGAGCCAATCGTAGTGCTGTGTTGGGCGAGGAAATCCCGAAGCTCAGTCCGTTTGCTCGCCAGGTCATGCAAACGGCAGATCAGGCAATACCTGAGGCTCGCACATGACTGCACCCTGCACCCTGTTGACTTCGAACTTGTCTCAGCTTCAGTTTCAGCACTGTCGCCTCCTTTAGATGAGCGAACCGTCCGTTCTTGCCCGATTGTCGGGACAGTGCAGGAGCTCCGACTGCTAGTCGGGGTGAAGGCCTCCAAAGGCGCTCCTCTGTTCATTGCAGGGTGTGTGTGAGCATGAACTCTGTTGGGGAAAATCATCAGATGAACTGCAGACCAGCTGACGTCTTCCCTAGGAAGTTAAGATCGTTGACTGCAGGTGGCGGCAAGGGAGGCAAAGCCCACAAGGCCGCGCAGTTCTCCCTGTCATGTCTTAATTTTGTTTTCCATGTGGGGCTTTCCGATTACCGAAATTGCGGTGCCAACGTCGAAAACCGACACCAAGGAACGAGTTGATCACGCATTAATTTGCCTTGCACGCGTTGGTTTGCCTTCGTCCGACGGCTCCGAAACATGAAACAGGTGGATTTTCCGCCGTGCATCACTTAGTAAGGGCTTGGGCTACCCGGTCTGTAGGAGGTGTTAGGACCCGAAGACCCCTATAGAAATGTGATCTTCGTATGTTTGCACGCTTGCGGCAGCGACAGGGGGGCGGCAAGAACGGCGGAAAATCGGGCAAGGGCAGCTTCAAGGCAAGGCCGACATGTTTAACGTATGCGCTGAGGGATTGCGTAATTCGAGCGTCGTCCTGATTTCATTTCTCGTCACTGCCAGGGCAAAGGCGGTGGTAATTACGCTCGCTCTGCCATGGACCTGAGCTGCTCATAAAGAGTCTCCTGGCCTCCTGTCAGGATCTGTCAGGATACATCAAGTCCCAGTAGTTCTTTTGCTTTCGGTTTCTGAGCATGGGGTGCAGAATTCGAACGCTCGGCGCTGCTCCCCTGGCTGCGAGTGCCAAGGGCCCTCCCCCTGGTCCTCTCGCCGGCGTCGCGCCCATGCAGCATCCTGAGTCCTTTCAGATATCACCAGGGTTAGAATTCACATTGGCTTGAGTAGGCGGAATCGACAAAAGCTGTGGCCAGGCAGGGTGGCCTCATGGGCGGCTACGGCGGCAGCGGCGCACTCGGAGAGAGCAGCCGCAAACAGAAGCCAGCTATCGAGCAGCCGCAGCGGTAAATGGAATTGGCAAGCTCCGGGTCAAGCAAGAGCAGGCGTTATTCATGTTCCTCCAGCTGTTTGCATACAGCGAGTCATTGTCGTATCGCATCCGCATCTAGTAACCCTAGCATGCACCTTTGTCAATGCCAGACGATCGTCAGAGGCACGCGAGATCGTCGACCAATCGCTAAGCTTTGGCAGTTTGCGTGCCTTTCGCGGGCACCATGGCCGTGAGTGTGATGGCGCCGGAGATCCTGAGCCTGGCAGGCTACAACGCTGTTGATCTGGCCAGTGGCAGTGGCTTCCCGGCTGAGGGCAGCTTCACCGGTCTGGACCTCTCTCTGTTGGAAGGTGAGGTGGACGAGGACGCTGTCCAGCAGTCCTTGCAGTTTACCAGGCTGTCCGGCAAGAAGGCGAATCTTCGTCTCGCCCACGTCGATCTTGGGAGCGGCACAGATGCCGAGCAGCGAATGTTCGATCTGAGAGCTGAGCGCGAGCTCCGAAGCACGGAGAGGGCCGTGCATGTCGGAAAGAAGAGTGAGTCTGCCAAGCAGAAGGACTTCGCGGTATCGGCCCAAATGAGGCGTGATGCGACTGCTGGTATCGAGGCAGCCGATCAGAGACTTGCGGAGATCGATGCGGAGCTACAGGAATTAGAGACTCTCCAGTCCTCATTTTCCTGGTTCCAGCTCTTCTCGCAGCTGCAAGCCCAGTCCGTGAATTACGTCGGCCACCTTGACCTCAGCAACTGCGGTCTTCATGCAACAGCTATTGAGCTCTTGCAAAAGGTGCTCTTGGATCTTGAACACAGAGGGGATGGCTATGCCGTCGAAGAGCTTGTGCTTGACAGCAACGACCTGGGTGATGCCTCCACGGTAGCTCTTGCATCCCTGATCCGCCTGTCGTCTCGAATCCAGGTCCTCAGGCTCCGAAACATTGGCATCACAGATGGAGGATTCTCCCAGCTGATCTCCGCCATCGTTGGCAACAAAAGCTTGTGCTTGCTGGACCTCCGGGGAAACGGGTTGTGCACCCTTGAGAACAGCAAGGTAGTGGTTCAAGGCCTGCGGCGCTTTAACCAACTTGTACAGATCCTGGTGGAATAGGCGAATGGCCTTCAGTGCATGTTACCGGAGAATGCATGAATTTGCCTGCAAAAGGAAAATCCATGCTTGTGGGCGTTGACCATGTGCAACCCTCGTCTTCTCGTATGCTAGGCAAATTAGCATCTAAGCATGGATTGCAGCTCATACGATATCATTGCCGTTCCGATTACTGCACATGTCCGTCATGCCCGTCATGATCTGCCGCTGCTTGAGGAAATGGGAACTACTACCGGTAGCAGCCGGTAGCTGAGACTCTGGAGGGAAGATGAACTTTACAAGGCCCGAAAGAGCAACCCTGGTATTGTCAAGGTGAGAATCATGCTACAATGTTGCTTCAGGCGGCAGATCACATCAGATCACTCAGTTTGAGTTGCACAGGTCCCTGGATGACAATCACGGGCGTGAGGGCCGCGTGGTGGGTTCATGAAGCAAGCCGCGCTGTGGCTTTGATTCTTGGCATGAGTAACCTGGCATGTCCTCCTGATTCCAGCCAGCGGTTGTAGTGTAGGACAGCATACTGCAGATCTGAGAAGTCGGACTAAGCTTCTTGCGTCCTTGAATACTGAACACTGTTTTAGCTCCAGTGAGTTTAGGCAGTTTTGATTCATGATCCTTGCCCGGTCTGGCGCAGCGCTGAGTGCATCCTGCTTGGACCAAGCTTTCGCAGCTTGCGATGAGATGCCGTTCTGTCATCCAGGAATCCAAGCATGAAGCACATGTAGGACCCCTGTCTGTCGTGGGCTTGAGAAGAATCATCTCAAAGTCTTTGGCACCCAAGCGTCCGAGCGACACGTTCCTTGAAGGTGCCAAAGTCTTCACACAATTCTTTGTACATCAGCGTGATGCTGATTGGCAAGATCCAGCCGCAAAACTTATTGCAGGAAAAGCCTATTCTGAGCTCGACCCCCCGGGGTTATTCTTGCTGTCTGTCTCTGTCGCTGTGTTTGATTGTGTCTCGCTGTCTGTCGTTTTCTCGCTCGCCCTGTGACTCGCATATTGTCGTGCATATGCTCGCTGACAGACTCTTGGAGCGTATAGAATCTTAGGCCTTTCAGGTCGTTTTGACGGTGTTCGGCTCCCCGCGCTTGCTACAGGCAGCAGCTAGACTTGGCGTTCTTCTGGTTGGCTCTTAGGACTTTAACTTTGGGGGTTTCTATATTTATGAACTACAATAAGTAGGCTAAAAGTTTAGCTTTTAGGAGGGGTTCAGAAGTCAGCCAAGACCCCACATCTTTGTGCTGGGCACGCTGCACCCCTAAACCCTAAACCCGTAAACCCCTAAACCCCTAAACCCCTAAACCCTAAACCCTAAGCCCTAAACCCCTAAACCCGAAACCGTGCTGCGCTGCCGCACACGCTCGGGCCAGAATGTTCTTCGAAGCGTCTCACTCCATGGCCGCCAGAAAAGGCACGTAAACAGACAGATCCCACACCCCAGCTCGATACCTAAACTCCCGACCTGTATATATTTAATAGGTTCGAAGGGTGAACGCGGCCCCTGCGTTTTCGCACCTTTTGCATCCCTCAGGTACGCGACGTGGAGCCCGACATGCATGTCGAGATGCTCCAGGGGCCAAGGGTTGATGTTTCAGGGCTGTGGTTTAGGGAAAACCAAAACCACCAGAACCAAAAAAAACAATACCAAAAAAACTAAAAGAACCAAAACCAAAAAAACAAAACAACCATTCCCAGCGAAGTCTTACTCCGAC